TTGATTGACACTCATAGAAAGAAGTAGAAAGATAGGACACACTAGACAATATAAAAATCGAAAACTATGGTTACTGTGCCAGGAATCGAACCTGTCAACCCCAAATGTAGTATGCGCCTCACTATGGAAACAAGTGTACTAAGAACAGGACCAACTAACCACACCAAAAAAAGGTGTCTTCGTTGGTACGTATATCATACAGCTTGAAATCCACAACTCTGGAAAAAGGACATAATTCTTCTCAAACCATTTAAATGGCACCATAGGTTACAGAAATTTATTTTAACGAAGCATAGGTCCAACAACAAACATGGTTATTTATTGTTTAACAAGCAGAAGACAGAAACAGATGGCGGATTTTGTGTTAGTTCATCCGTCGATATACCTCCACGACCCTAACAGTTCAGGGTTATAAAGGTTTGTTGAATTAAGATTTGACATCACAGCACTGGGAACACCCCCATAAGCACTCCGTCCCTATCTATAGAAGCAAGCAAAGAGTTAAAATTATGATAGTACCAGTGTCTGATTGTATATTCGTCTTGTCTTTCCTCTGAGTGTTGAGCATCGGCAAGATTCCCTTGTAACTCCTCACAGTGCCATTCTCCTCAGACCGTAATAATCTATCTGTACCTCGGCACTGTTCACTCGCTCCCAAAGAACCCTGACAACATCCAGCTTGTCATACATCAGTTCACCACCAAGTGGTGGAACCAGCCAGTGTGCCTGCTCACTTCCCAACACACCGGCATAACCTGGAGAAAAAATCCAAAGGATGCTCACCACTCGGGATCTCCTGAAGCGATGCTTGGCACTCTGCACAGAGAATGCTTGCCTCAACACGCTCTGTGAGCCAGTTACAATGACGGCATTTGTGTACAGCTGATTCTCAAGCTAGCAGCGACTACCTCCACCCTCAAACTAGAGGTTGTGATATTATATGCTAGGCTTTGTTGCAGCAAACGACGTTTTCCACTTTGCTATTAACCCTATGCACTTCATCTGCCCCTCAACACGGAGCCATCTATGTAGACAGTCAAATCACGGGAATTGTCATAAGGCATATGAAGAACCTTTTTCCAAAGTTTCATGCTACAAAACATATATTGAGAGCCACAAGTACAGGAATTCAAATACCCAGGAAGGATATTAACAGAAGATGGCAGAGAGACAGAAGCAAGAATTTAGAAGGCAAATGCTGTCAGCTAGCCCCACTGCTCAGAAAAACTGAGGAACAAGAACTTTTCTACTGATCAGTTGGTACCTTTCTGTCTTTCCCAACAAGTAACTTATTGTACTAAAGGGAGGGGGGCTTCATGGTGTGGACCTCGAGCGCTGGAGGTTCTGGGTCCAATCTCTGGTAAGGATTGGAATTTTTTCACGTGGACTTGGACTTGTGAATTCCCCCTGGTCTCTGGTTAGTGAGATCGGACACCCGTGCGCATGTAAAAAATCCTATGTCCCTCTTTACAATCCAACTCCCTGAAATGCAACCCCTTGGTAGTTGGAAAGTGCAAAGAGTAGCCTAACAGCGCTGCCCAGGCAAAATTTGGAGTTATAAATCTACCCAAAAAAGTATTTCAGGGTCCTCGCTGGAGAGTTTGCACTGTGCTGAGCTTTTTCGGACTCGGACTTGAGTTGGAACAAGAATGGAGCACTTATGGGTTACTATCTATGTGCCATGATGTTGATCTGTTCAAACCTCAAACGTGTACTAAAGGGAGGCATGGGACTCAGCCAGTGTGACTAGTAAGACCTGCTAACGTTATGAAGTCTTCCACAAGTACATGAGATTTCAGGACCATTATTGCCATTACATGTTTTTGATATATTTCTCCTGAGCTTTCAATCTACGACCCTTTTTTGCTGTGTCCCTCTTCACTTCCTAATCCAACTCCTGAAATTTAATCTACGGCATCCGTTACCAGGAAGCAGCACAAATACCTGTACCATTCATGTCCCAATTGAACACAACTTTTTAATTAAAGTAGAGACCAACATGGACATCTTTTACCCATCTGTAATTTACCACACAGTACGTCCTCTAAGTGTATCCTGGCCCAGTGAGCTTCTGAAGACTAAACATTTGAGAAAACTTCATTACATGATCAATTCAATCAAGTATTCATTGGATAATGCACTATAAGATGAGAGGGTTGACTTCAATGACATGTGGTTTTATCCTATCTAACTTGGTCTCAGAATGTTGCAAAAAGCATAAACTCCAGCGATTACCCTAAAATATCTTTAAAAGAATTGTACTGATCACGACAGATGCCGATGGAGCTTATTGTGGCCAGAGTTCATATATAACAAAGACACATTCTTAATAGTGTCACATGACAGCTGTCAGTTTAAACAAAAAAATTCAGAACACTAGCAAGTCAAAGTGGACAAAAAGTATGTAAACACACGACACAGAAGCAATGTCACAAACATATGACACAGAAGCAAGTCACAAACATACGACACAGAAGCAATGTCACAAACACATGACACAGAAGCAATGTCACAAACATATGACACAGAAGCAATGTCACAAACACATGACACAGAATCAATGTCACAAACATACGACACAGAATCAATGTCACAAACATATGACACAGAATCAATGTCAGCTGTAAACACTGTGGCATGTTTTATTACTTAAACATTTCTTCGTACAAAATACACACATTTTTGGTCCGTTCTGTATGTATATCCCCACATAAGGTAAACTGATACAGTTTGTAATAGAATTTACAACTATTCTTCCCATAATGAAATTCTGAAGTAACAGCCTCAAACATATGATACTTGATTTATCACTTCTGGCTTTGTTCGAAATGGCTGGAATATTTGTAACATAAAAATCTCCGATGAACATTTCTGTAAGATTTGTACAGTGGACATTGTTCTAAAAATGGTCACACTAATCTGTTAACAGTTCAGCTCTGGGTTAAAGAGTTTTTCATATCTGAGGTCAGAACTGGTTCTACCTTTTCAATCCTATCCATTGTCTTTCACTGCTCAATGCTGTTAGATGTTAGCAGGCATGGCTAATTATCCATTTCTGGGATAGTGACACTCGTCAGCTTGTTGCATGGCAAGATTGTTGTTTGTTAAAAAATAAATGTTAACAAAATGTATTTTTTTTTTTAAATTTAAATACTTGTATATATAAATGTTAATAAGTACATTTACAGTGACAATTTCTGATTTTAAGTTACAGAAAATGCTGTTACTAGAAGAATTTCATGTTACAAGTTAGGTTATCTTCATCGCACTCCAGACATATCCATAGGTGCTCAGGCTCCCCTTCAGCATATACATCATCAGCCTCCTGTAAGTAATAGTACCAGTTCTTTGCTGGCTAACAAGATTTCTCGTGGTCTGTGTGCCTCTCCAGCCTGGTTATGTCATTTTTTACTCCTGATTTTTGCATTCTTAGCAGTGACATTGATGTACCTCCCCAAAATCCTCAGTTGGAGCAAAGGTACAAAACGAAGCAATGCGTGTTAATTTGGGGTATGCAAGAGAAACCTCTTGTGTTGACATGAGAATTTTATGTTTTAAATTTATTGTTAAAAGGATGTCATGGTGACAATTGAATATTCAGCTTCTGTGGAGATATTTCCATACTTTCAGTTAAAAATTATAATGTTACAGTAAAAACTACATGCTTAATGCTAACGTTACCGAAATAACTATTGCTGACTATTTAAGCCTCTTCTTGTTCGTCCTCTTCTTCAAACTCGCCCTCATCTTCAGCAGTGGCATCCTGGTACTGCTGGTACTCAGAAACCAAATCGTTCATGTTGGACTCAGCCTCTGTGAATTCCATCTCATCCATACCCTCGCCGGTGTACCAATGGAGGAAAGCCTTGCGACGGAACATGGCCGTGAACTGCTCGGAGATACGTTTGAAGAGCTCCTGGATTGCGGTGCTGTTACCAACGAAAGTGGCGCTCATCTGGGTAAAAAAAAAAGGAAAAAGGTCACAAATGGGTAACAGAAACTTGAATAAAGACCCTTCACTACGTCTTCAGGTGTACTAGACATTCAAGACTAGACATATATTTTAAAAACCAATTGGCTGATTATGTGGTCAACAACAAGCAGCTACCTTTACTTCCTAGGACTGTAACTGGTACCCATTTAAGGATGGGTCGACCGGAGAGTCAAAGCATATAATAAAGGAGATCATTAAAATTGTGATACAGGTATCAGCGCTGGATCTTGGAGCCTCAAGCACACTTAGACATTTAAAACAAATTCACGGCGAGTATGACCTTCAAAAACAATCTGTAAGTGTGCTAGCTACCCCCTTTTACAATGAATAATGTTTTAAAAGTATGTTTCACACTTCCTGTTATTTCAAAAATATTGTATTTATAGTAATCAAACTAGTCAGCAGTTGGATTACTATTTTATGCTCTTAAACTAGGACTTGGCCCGTTTACCTCCTCACTTTCTGTTTATAATATCCACACACACAAAAAAGGAGGGGAGGGGGTGGCGCACCGAGAAGATCCCCCCAACCAATCAAAAGCTGATAATTCCTCCAAGGGACGCAGACAAAAATAGAACACTGAAAGAGGGAATAGAATAGCTCAAGCTTGATTTAAGCGGGCAATAATAATTCCCTGTGTCCCCTCCCCCCCCCCTCCCGTTAATTACATTTCCTTGTTGCAGAACTAACCAAAACATTTATTAGCTGTTGTTTTTCTAGGTGCCATTTTAGGTTCAGTAGTTTGCTACTGCTTTCTGACCTGTTAGCTCTTGCTACCACTGTCGAAACCAAGGAAAGAACAATTGAACAGCCGGGTCTGAACAGGGCACTACGAAGCGCATTTATAACACCCAAGTCACAGACACCCCAACAAGCATGTCCTAAAGGGTGACTTATAATTATGTGTTTCCTGAAATAAGGAGCTGGGCTAAAAGTGCAGATATCACAGCCTAGCTGTAAACCACGATGCATACATTAATTATTATCAACATAGCCTGAATTGCACTGAACAAGACTGTACTGTACTGACCTTGAGGCCGCGGGGTGGAATGTCACAAACTGCTGTCTTAACGTTGTTGGGGATCCACTCCACGAAGTAGGAGGAGTTCTTGTTCTGGACATTCAACATCTGCTCGTCCACTTCCTTCATGGACATGCGACCCCGAAATATGGCTGCAACAGTCAGGTAACGCCCGTGACGTGGGTCACATGCCGCCATCATGTTCTTGGCATCGAACATCTGTTGCGTCAGTTCTGGGACAGTCAGAGCTCTTTATTTGTGGATGAGAAATCAAATATCTATGATTATTGTCATTCAGTCATATTTTGTTTTGTAATCTGTTTTGGAATGTGGAAATATCCTATTGTTGGACATCCCAGAAATCCACCCTTTTGCAAATTCATAAATTTGGAAGCAATTTCTGAGTGATGACAGAAAGCTTATCAGCTGAAAATCTACAAGAGGTTACCAAATAGTGTGGAATCATATGTTTTAATGAATGTAAAAATATGAACCATATGTTTCTACTTAACATGAACTAGCAGAATGTCAGCAGTTGAAACACTGTTTTTGGTTAATATTAACTGGAGAGGCCAGTATCTCTTTTATGGCGCAACTTTAGTACTAATGGCAGTGATATTGGTTTAAAAAATAAACACTTTGCTCACCTTTGATATCAAACCCTGATATTCTTCTTCTTCTTCTTGTTCACCGGCTGTGAATTCCGGCGGTAAGTCGCGGTTGTTCGTCCAAATGGACTTTTGGCTTTTACCTTGACCTGAGTTTTGCGTGTACATACGTTTTACTGGCTTATTTGTTTGCAGTTCTCGTTCCCCGCCTCTCCAGGCAGATGTACTCCGACTTCGATGGATGTCAAACCCTGATATTCTAGGATATGAAATTCTCAAAAGCATTCACTAAACTCTAAGAGGAATCTTCGTGGCAAAATGGTCAAGTCGTTTGCCCCAGGCTCTGAAGATAGTGGGCTTGTTTCAAGTCTGCAAATTTTATGGAGCCCCCTGGGGAACTTTACTGGAGTTATGGTGTCTGTGGGACGCTCTCAGCGGGCAGCCAGCGGTTCGACCGCGCCAGATGGGAGTATTTATTATATTTCTTGTCACAGAAATGTCCTCTCTTTATCTGTAATTGTAATTTAAAGCTGATCTACATTTCAAATTTTCAACTGATTACAAAGGAGGAGAGGAAGAAGGATATTATTTACCTGTACTGCTGGCTTCCTCGGGAGGTCAGTGGAGCGAATCCAGGCATGAAGAAATGCAGACGTGGGAATGGCACCATGTTAACGGCCAGTTTCCTCAAATCTGCATTCAACTGACCAGGAAACCGGAGACAGGTGGTCACACCAGACATGGTGGCACTGACCAGGTGGTTGAGGTCACCATATGTTGGAGTGGTCAGTTTCAAGGTTCGGAAGCAGATGTCGTAGAGAGCTTCATTGTCAATACAAAATGTCTCATCTGTGTTTTCTACCAACTGATGGACGGATAATGTCGCATTGTAGGGCTCTACGACTGTGTCTGATACCTAGAGATAGAAGCATCTTGTCAAAAGTTGTAAATTTATTACCACATATTTTGCTACTATGCTGAAAATAAAAATGGGGCGATTTCAAACAAGGTGAAGAAATAAGAGAAATGTATGGGCAACCGCTGGTAACAGCAGTTATAAGACAAAAAGATAGCGCCACAGTAGACAAATCCTGAGAGAAAAAAATGAGCAAAGAATTAACAAACAGGCACTAACACTGGACAAAAAAGAACAGAGTAAGCGAGGACGCCTAAAAGAAACGCTAAAATGAAAGAGGCCAGGTTGCCGAACTAGATTCCATCTATGATTTTAAATGAGCTGATAGAACAGAATGAAGGAATAGATTGCGAGCTCTATGTGACATATGACAAATGATGGTAATTTTGCTACTAAATATATGGGCGGATTTTGTCTGTCCGCTCCACAACTCTACAAGTATGGTAGGATTAAGCAAATAAACTGCTGAACATGATCTCACAGGTTTATTACCCCTGCACAAGTAGAAGTTTAAATACTTCAGGTACAATGAATAACAGTAGCATTCTAATACTTTTAAGTCAGTGTTATGTCACTGAAATGACATTTACAATATAATAGTAATACAGGAGAAGAATTTATAGTTTTTTTTCTTGTGATGATGCAATCAGCTCTCTTCGTGATCAGCTCCTTTCAAAACATTACTTTTAAAAAAAAAAATCTTTCCAGGGTGTTATTTGTCTATAAAACCACATCTCTGCAGTTTCCAAATATGTTTTCACAAATTTTCTAACTGTCCATGATTCATTTCCGAATATTAATATAGGATTTATAAAGCTTTTGAGAATTGTCCTTCTCGTCTCAACTGACAATTGTGATTTTTCACACACACACCAAAAATATTATTTACAACAGCATCCATAAAACTAAGATAACATCAGTCAGATATTAAACAGTAGGGAAGATAATTTATATAACTTATTCGTCTTCTTCTCGTACACCAGCTATAAACTTCGGTGGAAAGTTTTGGTTGTTCATCCAATTCTGAACTCTTCTTGCTCCACAACCGAAGTTTGGACTATTATTTTTTCATTTAACAAATCTGCCTTATTTTTTTTATTAAGACTGGTGGTCCCTCGTCTCTCGTGCAGATTCATTCCAACGTAAAAGAAAATATTTAGAATTAGTTGACTCTCTGGACATGCTTATTACAGGGTTGCTTGACTACAACCCCCCCCCCCCCCCCCCCCCTAAAGCTCATGAAGAATTTACATTATAATTACTTAACAGTAATAAAATTGTATGGTAATGATTGATAACAGTAAGATAATAGCGATATAACTGAAATATAGCAGTAAGGTAACAATATGTTATACTGTTACAGTAATATAACAAGACAAATATAACTCAGCGACAGCAAACAAAGTCAGATAAATAAGATATTTGTGACACTCACTTTAGGAGATGGAACTACAGAGAAGGTGTTCATGATTCTGTCTGGGTACTCTTCCCTGATCTTACTGATGAGGAGTGTTCCCATCCCGGACCCGGTTCCACCTCCGAGAGAATGGGTCAGCTGGAACCCTGTTAACACCAAAGACAAGACAGGTTTTAACAAGGGCACAATATGACAGTCATTTAAAAACTGGTAACACACATTCAGTCTTACCCCTCCAGAATCAAAAGTATTGTACTGTCTTTTTCTCATCATCTTTCTTCTTTCTCTACCCTTTATCAATGAATAAAGCATTAGCGACAGAGGACTGGAATGAAAATAGTCAGAAAGAAAATTGCTGATAGAGACGTCTGGCGATCTCTCTGGCGAACCTCTACACCCCAAGATCGAAGGAGCGATTAAGTAAGAAGCATAAGCTCTCAACCAGCGAACTCTTAGACCTACCTCCTATTATTTGACAAATCTTGAAGCTCCTGGGTTCCCCGAGCAGCTATGGGTGAGGCAAGACAAGAGAACTGTGCAGAAAGCCACAGAAGAAGAATAAACCAAAACAGAACAAGTGTCAGCCATTATTACTTGCTGTGGGATATACCTAGAAAGGGATCTGAAAACTCATGGGCTCAACTTAACCTCTTCATTCCAATATCTAATCATGAAACCATGAAACATGATTTGAATCAATCAAATCATGAAACCAAGGTAAAACACATTTTACAAAGTCACTACAAGTCTAGAAGTAATTAATAACAGAACAGCGTTAAGCAATCGCATACATGGCTTGAAAAAAATCAAACATTGGGTGACTCGTGTCATGAGCCCGTGACCTCTAACATTGAGGCTTATTGGAAAATTTTAATGACCCTTAGCTTAAAAAAAAAAAAAAAAAACTATTTACTTTAAAAGGAAACCCTTCTATATGCTATTTTAGCAAATATTTTCTCATCCTGACTTCCTAAATACCTATGGCATTAACTAGGTGTCTCTCGTAACATGTCAGTTAAGTAGTTATCTCTGGGAAATGGAACCTATCAGGAGTGCTGATTAACTAACTTATAGAACAGCAGTCGGAACCTGTGGCACAAGCACATGGTTTGTAATTCCAAATTACCATTCAGCTGCAGTCAGTCTGGGAGCATACTACTTTGTGTTGATTCCGACAGCATGGAAAGCTGGCTGGTCAGTATGCAGCGGCAAATTCCTGAATATAAACTGCATAGTAAAACCACAAGCAACTGCGAAAAGCTGGGGTTAATTTACAGCGTCTTGTAAATAATACACAACTAATGTTTTTCGTTTCTTTGCAAAACATTCATTGTTATAAAAATAATTAGTAAATAATTGTTTGTGATTAGAAACAAAATTGGACCACTGTGTTTTCTTGTTATTTCTATATTTAAAAAAAGTAATTTATCAAGGCAGAAAAATAAAAGACATTTCTGCGGGTTAGAAAGGATTATTTCTGATTTACAAGAAAATGCTGTACAACTTACCCTGCAGACAGTCACAGCCTTCAGCTTCCTTTCTAACCACATCTAGAACAGAATCTACCAACTCAGCTCCTTCTGTGTAATGTCCCTTAGCCCAGTTGTTTCCAGCCCCAGACTGACCAAAGACAAAGTTGTCTGGACGGAAGATCTGACCAAATGGACCTGAGCGGACACTGTCCATGGTGCCTGGTTCCAGATCAACCAGGACGGCACGCGGGACATACTTCCCTCCCGTGGCTTCATTGTAGTAAACGTTGATCCTCTCCAACTGAAGATCACTGTCTCCATGGTAGGTCCCAGTTGGGTCGATGCCGTGTTCGTCGGATATTACTTCCCAGAACTAGAGATACAAGATATTTATCATTTCAGATTTTAGCTGCCACACACACATTTCTGTAATTATAAATATATTACCAGCCTGTTGGCAGGAGGTAGTTGAGGTTGCATCTTCAGGAAAAACAGGTCAACCTTTAATGCTCAATTCATGCGCCAGGCAGAAATCACACATTCTTCCCCACCTCATTCATTTTATTCTTTGCATTTAGCAGCTATTAATTCCAGCAGAAAGCTATAGCTGTGGCATCCACTTCTGGACTAAGCCCTGTTCCAGAACCTAAGTTTTACATATGTTTTTTTCAAGCCAAACTGTTGGTTCCTTGCCTCTCAAGCAGATGTACTCTGACTTCAAAGGAAAGAACCTTACTTAGCTGACTTTGACAACATGCTTGTCAGGGGGGCAATGATCCTATTCCTTCCCCATTCCCACCCACCCAAATGGGGTCCTATAAAACACATAGGGAATATTAGCTATTCACTTCTGCCAATTATATACATGCACATATACACAGAAGACTTAGACCCTTCAGGCATCAACCCCCTCACCCAAGTCTGTCTATGATTTACAGGGGCACAGACAAAAAGAACAACTTAGGGATTGGGGAGGATGAGAGAGGACTGAGCCCTATTACAACATTTTTATGTTTTGAAGGTTTAAATTTAGGCAGTGAGACAACTTTCTATTAGGTTACCTTTTTCTTCTTTTTAATGTTTTATCCATTTTACAGATCTAGCATATTATATAGATTGCTGGTTCCTTGCTTCTAAAGCAGATGCAATCTGGCGCCAAAGTCAGCACCCCTAATTATAGCCTTTTACATGCGTGTTAAAGGACAGTTCTTTTCCCGCCAAAATGAAGCCCCTTAAAAAAAAAAGGGGGGGGGGGGGGGGGGGGGGGGGGGGGGGGAGAATATCCGAACCCCCAGGTTTTGGCCACTAGTGTATATTCCGACTGGTGCAAATTAAAAGATCCAATGCGAATTCTTTCAGTGTCTACAGAAATACAAACCTCTCTAAATATCAGGTCACATCTGCCCCAATTTCACTCCCTAAAGTCCCACAATTCTCCAGTTTCCGAGTCGAGAATATGACACTAAGATTCGGACACCTGTTTGATGTTACTGTGGACATGTTTGTTGGCCCAGCTATTTGTTTCTATAAACACGTTTATCTGCATTTCTTGCCTAGAATTACTCTTGCCGTGCCTTAGAAAATGTGTCCCCCCCCCCCCCCCCCCCCCCCCATGTACATAAAATACTAGGCATTTTAAGAATAATAAGTGTATTATAACTACCCTATTAGGAAAGAACGCCTAAGAATTGTAAATTCAAAATCTCCCACTGGGGTACGACCTAGTTTGGCGAGGCCGCGATCTCATAAAAGCGCGCGCACTAACGCTACCAATACAGGTGTGTTCCTAGGCAGGTGTGCCGTGCCTGCTGTGTGGTTATCAGCTCCTGGTGTCACTGATAACTGACATAACACTGCAGCACACCGTTGAAGTCTTGAGGTTATCAAAATAGCACGAGTGGCGTGGTAACGGCATGAGGTACCCGGTGCGGGAAACTTCACCCACCCCTTTCCCCATAATAGATTTTTTGTCATTTCGCCCCCGTCCTACGCGACTGGACAGGGGACAAAGGGCGGTCATATTCACGTTTCTGGCCCATCTACACACTGCCTGGCCTTTCATTCATGATTTTTTAGAGGGGTGTCATGTTGTCTTGTCTCCAATTACACCAGCGCCGATGTCGCGTGTTCTATACTACAAGACGACACATCAAGAACTGGCTCTAACCCAAACCCTCCTACCCAGGACTGCCAATGCTTGCCCCCCCCCCCCAGATCTGGGTTTTTATTTGACGCCTCGGGGAAATAAGGGGGGGGGGGGGGTTTAATATATCCTTATATAAAAGTGGTTAATGTTTCGTGTCATAACTATAAATTGTATATATTTTCGACAATCTGGGGGGGGGGGGGGGGGGGGGGGGGGGGGGGGGGTGTGTCTATGTATTGCTTGGGTTTTTGTTTAGCGAAGCTGGTTTTTAAAAAAAAAATTGCATATTAGACTAGACCAGACTGAGAAAGTGTGTAGATGGCCGGGAAACGTCCCAAGGTGCAAAGACATGAGTATTAACAGGAACCGGCTTACTAAACAACAAAACTATCGGAAACTTTCTGTTCAGCAACAATCAAACGGTCTGTAACAGGCTAGAAAAGAATGATTGGCCTTCCAACAAGAAGGAAGGCCAAGAAAGCAAGGGCCTGCGAAATTATTTTTTTCCCCCCACAAATGCAATTTTTAAAAAATATAAATTTTACATTTTCAACAATGCTGATATGAACTTCCATGATGATTTTTTTCAAGCAGAACTTTTCTGTTGAGAACAAATTCAACACAAAGATGCGTATCAAATCATTTTTCAAGATAAGATTCCGTTAGTTTCCCCTCATACTGAAGCAATATTGCGACTATCCCTGTATCTAATGATAGTATTAGTTTCCCCTCATACTGAAGCAATAATGCGACTATCCCTGTATCTAATGATAGTAAATTATTCAGGAGAAAGGTCATTTTTACAGCCAAAGATAATATTTTGCATTTGCAAATGTTTTAAACCCAAGTCTCTTTAAGAGTATTATGTATAATTTAGGTAATTTTGCCAACACATTATCCTTTCTTTCCACAAAAATTAAACAACAATATTTCAATTACTGAATTCTTCTTAGTTGAGTGCATGGTGTGACACTGTGAGCTACGTGGGTTTTTTTTTGGCACAGGAGCGGAGCAACTATGAAGCTGAAACTAGGTGTACCAGATTACTGATCTTTTTAAAAGGCATATGCATTTTAAAGTTTTCTTAGAATTGCTGTTGTAATTTAAAATAGCAGATGTCAGAAGGCTTTTCATAGCTTAAAGCCTTTTAAAGTCTAAATCCAACACTGCCTGCCACCGAGGGGCACAAGAAATATAACCCTATGGCGATGGCCAAACATGAGTCCAGTATTGTACGCTCTAGCCAGACCAGAATGGAGAGAGAATATCACAGAGGCTGGACTAAGTCATCACCCTTCAAGACTCAAGCTATTGCCACAAGTTCCCAGGAATGCTTCCAAGGCGTCTCTAGTCAAGTCACTTTATGTCTCAAGTCCTTTACAAATTGTGCATTGGAGAATGCTTACAGATGCAGCTAGTTGGTTGTAATACCAAAACAACAGCCAACAACAATCAGATTTTGATTAGGTATGTAAATAGCTACATTGCATATTGAAATTGAAGAAATTTGCAGAAAACTGAAAGTTGTTATATTATTCTATTTCTATCATTTCAATATTAGATATACTTCATATTTTGATCAGTTTACAATGGCCAGCCGCGAGGAACGAGCAGTACCAAGTTGCCGAAGCTAAAAGTCACAAAGTGATTCAATGAAAATGCCCCAAATCATGTCAATCTTTTATGTGAGGGTCACATGAGAATAGGTTGACCAGTCTCTAGGAGCAAATTCCTTGAAAGAAGATTATACTCAGTGTTCCTGTTGCCTGGTCATAAACATACAGGACTACTATCCACAGCTAAAGTAATCGATAAGACAATTTCGCTTTCTATCCCTTCCTTTCTAAACTAACAAGTACAATAATTAAAATATCTAGGAAGCATAACTATAGAAGATAGATTCGATAGATAGAAGCCAGATTCGATAGATAGAAGCCAGAGTATACAGGTAGAAGAGCAAATGCTGACACCTACCAGCTAGCCCCATTGCTTAAACACCCAAATTCTGCCCTTTTGGCAAATGATTCATAGCAACTTCATCCCTATTTTAGGTTATCAGTGTCAAACATGGACAATGAAGAGGGCACTAGAAAAAAAATACTACCTGTAAGGCTAGCGAATGCCAGTATTAGAAAGAAAGCTGGAACAAGACCATGTCTGAATTATATTGACAGACACCGAATGAAGTGGTTCAGCCATATTGTGAGAATGCAGCCAGACCAGACTGCATATGAGATTTTTTTTTTTTCAAACAGCAGAACATCTGGGAGTAAAGTGAAGGGATGACTATGAAAGAGATAGATAAATCAAGCTGAAACCTGCAAAAAGATTAACAAATCCAACACCTAAATAGTGCAAGACATACACAAAACTGGGCTACAACCTGGTATCGCTGACATGACAAAAGAAAAAGGACCAATAGGACTGAGAATGTAGAGAGTATACAACAATGATGTAGACAAATTATGACTTGACAAAGACCAACATATTACAACAGACGGGGAGAAGGGAGAGAGAAGATGATATGGAATAATTTGAGACCTCCCCGTGTGGGTTCCAGGGCCCCATTGAAGGAAAAAAAATAGTTCCACTGCCTTCCTAACAAGCATGTCCTAAGAGCTAAATAATTCGGGGTTTTCCTTCAATGTCACAGCCCGAGAGGTGATGAACCAACCAACAGTCTGCATTCAAATATCTGTATATAAAAAGGATGTACATTTACAAACCAAATTCTGGAACAAAACAAAAGCCCAACAACCAGATTTTCTGCTGGAGTTTACAGCCGGTGAACATCAAGAATCTATGCAACCATGTATAAACACATACAAACATAATGTACGAGGGTGGAGAGAAAATAAACAATAAAATATATAGAAAACAAAATGGAATGCTAAACACACATAAGGATTATAAGAAAGACATGATGACAAAGGAGAGAGAGATAAGACAAGAGATGACAGAAAATATGTAACTAATTGTTTTTTGTGGAGTTCATTGCTTAGTCTGTATATGTAAATATTGCCCTGTTCAACCTTCCTTCGTGCTAAGATTATATGCCTGATTTTACTGAGTATTCTAAAGTAGATTAAGGTCGACAGATAAATTACTAACAGCTTTTGTATAAATATGTATATATACAGACATACTGTTCAGTTTCTCAAATTTCATTGCATGACCAACAAATGCAGTAAGTAATTACCCTTGCATTCAAGTCAATATCACATATTTCAGATGCCATCTACTTCAAAATCATCTAATTAATTATCTAACCACAGATTTGCATCAAACCAAAGATGTTGCTGCGTTCGTTGTGCCGGTTTACATAATGGCTGTGATATTTGCACCTTTTGGCCGACACATCAGACTTCTGCAGGCATTTGTTGACAGGGTTGGCTTCATGGGACACTGCAGTCTCATTGTCATGTGGTCATCTTTGTGTTCACAGGCAATGCAGCACTTCAGGCCAGAGAAGCCACATTAATGCTGGTCACCCCTCAAGAGAAGACAGGGGCAGAACATGAACATTCCCCACCATCCAAGGAGACTTCCATAAATGCAGAGCCATTACATGGTGCTTTGTTAGTGTGCTCACCCAAGGAATTGTCACGTCCTGCCTATGACTGTTTAAACTCACTTTCATACATTGAGCACCTCACATAAGGGGCTACGTCTTTAGAAACCAGCAGGAGGGAGCTTGCAGACTAGGGATTTCAATTACTTAAACAAATGAATACTTCGCTTCTTTTGCATGTTAGACTTACAGCAGTGGACTTCTGTGTCCACTATAGTTTTATGACAATTCCCAGGTAGATGCCTAGGAACATCCAATGTTGCCGTCTACAGACATATGATTCTGTTTTCATTTTCTTCACACGTCATGGTTCAACTCTTCGAGTCCCAGGGAGTTTAGCATCACAGGCCCAGGGGGTAGTAAGAAGATTAAGAAAAGTAATAAAATCGGCGCATCATGCGTTCATTGGGACTCAAAGAGTTAAGAACTCTGCAACTCTAAAGACAAGGGCACTTAGCCATAATCAAAGATTTTTAGTAGAGCTAAGCTCCCACCCTGTATTGTCCCTGCACGTGACTTAGCAACAGGACCTGGAGGACTCTGAAGCCACCCCCCCCCCCCCCCAATTTTTTTTTGTTCAAGAAAATGTTCATGGGGTGTTAGCTAACCACCCTTCCACACCAAATTTGTAAAGGTGCTCATTTAGAGGGTGTAATAGTATATATATATATACCCTTCATTAACTACATTTGTCATTTATAGAATATGATGTTTTTCACAAAATATTTCAATTATTTTATTACATTCATTTGCAAAACAGCAAATAATAATTCTTCTATATAATGATAATGAATACTTTTATTAATATTCAGGTCAACGAGATATCTGTCCCTCGAGTTCCCCTCCTACAAAATCTGTACTGTTCTAATATGCCAATGGGGATGGCCTCACTCCCCCATTTTGTTTTTTGTGTGGGCGCACGTGTCAGCGCGGTTTTGAACTTGAATGTTACGGGGGAAATCAAATATTGTAGATCAAAAGAAGAAAACAGCGATATGTTTATAAGGTCTACACATTGACTGACCCTTGATCAGCATGTCTGTTAAGGCTAAGGATCAGTAATCTTTAATTCATAATTATTTTTGCGTGAAATATTATTTCGGTACGAAAATTGAATATGGCACCGAGTAACATAATGATGTGAATGAGATGGCGCTCAAATGACGCATTCGAAATGATTTGAACAGACACAGACAGTATCTCTCACCTTTGCGCCAATTTGGTTTCCGCACTGGCCAGCTTGAAGATGGACAATCTCACGCATTGTGTAGTTTCGGGGTATGAACTGGACTCAAAAGGGATGGTATGTAAAAATAATCTAGCACTGAGAGAGAAAATTCCAGTGTTTGAACTATATAGCCTGTCCCAGAATGCACCGCGGTATTTGGGTCGCCGAGGATCAGTCGCGGGTAGCAACCAGCAACACAGATCCAGGCGGGTTGCACTGGATCCAGGGCTGTCGAAGTTGGTACATTTAAATACATTTGGTAAAATTGCTAATACTTGATTCTTGCCTAGAAAAACTGCATTTGATATCAGACAGGACTTACATTCAGACTTTATGAAATCTTCTTGAGAGTTGCCATTAGTTCATTAAGGGGATGAGGTTGAAGCAGATTGGAGACCTAAAGCTGTAGCTTTTTTTGCGTGTGCTTTATTCTTCAGCAATAATTTGGCGGGAAGGGCCAAGTTCGCTTTTTGTTTCAGTTTCAAAATAGGAGTGTCTACCCAGACAACTGTCAGGTGGTTCATTTATGATCCTGTTAAAGAAGAATATGTACAAATAAAAGAGTGAAGGAAACTAATCTTGCAAGATGGACCGCATAAAGCCGGGGAAAAAATAGCTCGTTCGCGACGCCTAAGCCATAGACGCCGACCATTATTAGGTACTGTAACAAAAAACTTTCGGCAACCCTGTGCCAGTGAGCCCGCCAATAACTATCGGACTGTCGTCGACGCAAACAAATGTGTGTTGACACGTTACTAGGTGGTTCTGAAACTCAGCTCCCGCCATTAACTGGGTCAGATCGTAACACGCTTCTGGTTTGTGGCGCGCTGCAGCTTTTCCTATGTTTAGACTAAGACTGTTGTTAGTCGGTGACTGTTAACCCTTTTATGATAACAAATCTACCAGTAAACCTAGAGTAACCAAGGGGAAACGGATCATCTGGCAACCTTAGCTCCCAGATTCTGGTGCCCCATGGAATGAGCAGGGCGTGGATTGAGGTACACCCATGATCATCATCATCAAGTGCATTTCCAGCTGGCGTAGACGTTCATGCCTCGCCACAGATCTCGGTCTTTCGTTTTCTGGATGTATACAATGTTCTACTTTCATCAGCCATTTCCAGACAT